CTTATTTTTATGTGGGTACGAGACAATATAAAGTGAAACGAATGCTAGATTAGTTAAAACGTCATCGAACCGTTTGTAACGACAACATGTCGTTTTGGGTCACGAATTTTCAATTTCGCTCAAAATATTGTTAAAACTTGTTTTCATTAATTTTTATGTGGATACGAGGAAACATAAATTGATACAAACATAAAATTAGTTAAAACGGCATTCAGTCGTTTAAAACGGCAGTATGTCATTTTACTGTTGATTTTAAATTGTGTATGAAAGTAGAAGAATTTACTGTGATGTAATATGGGTAATTTAGGTAATCTATTAATTTTGAATTAAAATATTTATTTTAAATCATTAATTGTGGTCAGCTAAAATCCCAACTATATTATGAAAGAGACTATTTGCCCCAATTACCACCAGCAGGATTGCTTAATTTATTATTAGAACGAGACAAACCCGACACTCAGAACTGATACTCTTTCTGATCGCCATTCGTCGCCCATTGGAAAACCCGCACAATCACGAATTCCCTCATTAATTACCCAAAAATGATTTGTTCAGGAAGAATTTTAGCAGTTTTGTATTCAAATTCGCCGTTTAATCATTCGAATCCACGCTTCTCCGAGTCCAGATATCTCCCGGTAAAGCTAAAATCTCATGTAAAATGGAAAACCATGGCATCAGATTCCGACGCCTCTTCGTTTGCTTCTTCCGTTGATTCTGACGCATCAACTGATAAAAACTCTGCCACGTAATATAGTATTTTCATTTTGATTACTTAGTGTTTCTTGTTGTTGACTTGAGTTTTGATGAGCAGATCATTGGTTGAGAAGTTGAATAAGTTATTTCGATAAGTATATGAAGATATGTTATGTAATTAGGCGTGTTTGTAATGAAATGATTAATTAATTAGATGTTTGTAGACTGCAGTCATTCATGGTAAATTGGGAAGTGCTGATTAGGGGTGTTTGTATGCAGGTTTTGTATAATAGAGGGGCCGGAGATGGTTCAGGATTTCGCCAAAATGGAATTACAGGAAATTCAGGATAATATTAGGAGTCGTCGGAATAAAATATTTTTGCACATGGAAGAGGTCAGTTTACATACATGAACCCTTTTTAATTAAAAATCGTTAGTTTTTGAATAAATTCTTTCTTCAGTTTATAGATTTATTTGTCTTTTTAACTATTATTTTACTGGTAATTGCTGTTTTGTATAAATTTTGTAGGTTCGTAGGCTGAGAATACAGCAAAAAATTAAAAGTGCGGAGCTTGGTATTCTGAAGGAAGAACAAGAAAACGAGCTTCCTAATTTCCCCTCCTTCATTCCATTTTTACCTCCTTTGGTATGCTTATTGATGCATTTTATTGGTGGTCACTATTTGTTGAGTATCTTGGGACGTAGAAACTCAGCAAATACTTCAGTATGTAGTGTCTAACAAATTTATTTGTTGCAGACCTCTGCGAATCTTAAACAATATTATGCAACTTGTTTCTCTCTTATTTCCGGCATCATTCTTTTCGGTGGTCTTCTAGCACCCACTGTAAGTTCTACTGCTCCTTGTTAATAGCATTAGAACAGGAATATAACTATATAAGGATTACTGAAGAAAATTTATCTTTGCACATTAATGACTGCACTTTCCAGTTTTTCCATTTTATTTATCAGTAGGTGTTTCCATCCTGTTACATAATAGGAAATAATCTTGTGGTTCAAGCTTTTCGAATAGCTATCGTTCGTTGAAACGACTTATAAACCGGACATCCCTCTGTTCCCATCTCCCCTGTCATTCTTCCCCCATTTAAAATTTTGAGCAACTCCATTACCTTGCAAATGGAAAGTTTTTCTGCCATCATTTCTTTTGCTTTTTCGCTTTTACAGTGAAGAATAAGAAATATTTTTTTTTTGCAGTCTAATGTACTTTCGAAAGCGTTTATCTGGAAACTAGGTACTTTTGATTCGTGCTCTAGAATTGTTTGATAGAGATGTCCAATGACAACATAGTAGAACGAGACTGAATTTGTAGATGTGCATTGAAGAGATAGCATGACACTAGATTCAGTCCCTGAGAGAAATAAGGATTAAGCTGAATGTATCACTCCATACCTGATACTTTCAAGTTTCAACTGCTTTTATTTCTTTGCCCTTTTATGGTATCTCAGAAGGAGCCAGAATATGAGTACTATTGGGACTATTTAAAAGAGATTTGGTTATACTTGCAGTTTCATGTTCTTAAAATTTACTTTCATGTCCTAATCCATGTATTTATTTCTATTGCTTACACTAGCTGGAGCTGAAACTGGGATTAGGAGGTACATCATATGCTGATTTTATCAGTAACATGCATCTGCCAATGCAATTAAGGTATACTGCTGGAGTGCCCTTATTTATTAACTAATTCTAGTTATTTTCCAGAATGATATATTGTGGATGCTGAAAGCGACTGTGAGACTGCATTAATGTCAACTCTATTGGCACATGTTTAAGAATGCCAAGTGAGCTTTTTAATTAACTGGACATCCTCTCTCTTATGTTATCTGCCAATAACATGAACACAACTGATTCAGCATCTCCAGTTTCAACTTTTAGTTCATAAACAATACAAATATTGAATGTTCTAGTTTTTTGCATCTTTTCATATTATAGTTTATAACATTTCATCTGGAAATGAGATAACTTGTGAGAGGAAATATATTACCTATATATCGTCTTTGACATTCAAGATAGATTCTTAAGAGGTCCATAACCAGCTCTGCTCTCAAGAGTGTGAATTAGCATGGCTAGGTCCTCCTGTTTCTCCTTTTTCTTTTTCTGTTCTGGTGAATGATATTAATAGTGTAACCATCTTGTAAAAACTTAATACTGTAGGCTTATGAAAATTTCAAAATTGAAGACACGATTGATACTAATTTTAGATGAATTGATTATTTGGTTGAGGATATATTGCATCTTGTTCTAGATTTTTACTAAAGAGAGTGGCTTTTATGAACTCTGTAGTCAGTTTGATCCCGTTGTGGCATCATTCTGGGGGATTGTAGTCCCCCACTTTTCCACAGACAATGCTTTTTATCATTTTTGAATCATCATTTGATGCACAAGTAAAGCATGGTTCTACGGACTACAGAGACATCCAATGCTAATTTTAGATGATTTGATTATTCGATTTGAGGATATGTTGTATGCTTCTGTTTTCTTAATAAACGACTTTTATGAACTCTGTAGTGAGGTCGATCCCATCGTGGCATCATTCTCCGGGGGTGCTGTTGGAATAATATCTGCATTGATGGTAGTTGAAATAAACAATGTGAAACAACAGGAGCACAAGAGATGCAAGTATTGTCTTGGTACAGGTATACAATGCATGTTCAGGCTTTCATGTCTTCTTAGTTTTTGTTGAGTTTGTCATGGCTATATGATATTGAAATAGTTATTAAGCTTCACAGCTTTTTTCTGGCTTCAACATCTATTTTTGAAATTCGTCTGTGAGCTCTGCTTGGTAGATCTTTCCGTCCTCCTAGGACCTGAATGGAGAACTTGGATCTGAATGTTTCACTAGTAAAAACAAAGAATTACTCTGAAGACAATGTGGAGCTGGAAATGTTGTTGAACTTTCCATCTTTCTTGTTGCGAATGATATAATTCTTGTCCTTGACTCCTAATAGTTTTCCTAATTCCACCATTGAATGATAAAAAGTTGTGCTATGCAAGATGGATGCTCTTGGTGCTTATGGAACTTGTATTCTGATTTGCAGGATATCTTGCTTGTGCCCGCTGCTCAAGCACTGGGTCGCTTGTTCTTATCGAACCAGTCTCCACAGTTGATGGTGGTAATCAGCCTTTGTCAGCACCTAAAACTGAAAGGTGTTCTAATTGTTCAGGAGCAGGAAAGGTATGGTTTGGAATTTGGATTACATTTATTTTGCCTTTCTTATCATAGCTATTTACATGCTGTTGCTGCAAGGGCAGTTATTTCCTCCACTTGGTATACATGGTCTTGGTATGCATACTGGATTGAGATGAGCACAGGATGGAACTAGTTTGTGGATTTGTGATCTGTATGAGTTTTAGTTGGAAGGTAGGAAATTGATTTTTCATCAAGACTTTTATTTTAAAAAAATGAGAGCATTGTTAGACCTCGTAGAGAAGTCTGTGGGTTTGAATAACGGCTTCGCTAAAAATATACTTTGCAATACTCTCCCTCTGACGAGGTACAAAAAAACTACATGCAAAAAGGGTTAAAAAATATAGGGTTCACTTAAGAATCGCGAAACCATCCACCATGTACAGACTGACCAAAGGCGTCAATAAGGGGCACATTGGCCAATGAATAAAACGTGATTTTTAACCAAAATCAGTCATCAGACTACTAATAAGAGGCATCCACTTGGCACGACGCAAATATTACCAAACCACCCCAATGTTTGGAGGGAAATCTATAAATACCCACTCCATTCAAAGAATGCATGCAATTAAAATATAGCGCTCTCAAATAGCTATTTCTCTTCTTGTTCTAGTTTAAGCATAGAAGACTAACAAATTTAGGAGGTGAAACTTATAGTTAGGTGACAGGATTTTTTTTATTGTAACTGTTTATCAATAAAATCATTTGATCTAGTTTTTTTACCACCAACGCTCATAATTTAAATTATTTATACTTTCCTTCAAATGCTTCCTTTTTCTTTGGAGTTGGGATAGGAGTGGTGATGGGATTTTAGTTTTGGGAGTTTGCATCCATTAAATTAGTAATTATCTCTACTTGTTGAGAAGATTTGTTTGTTAGCATTTTGGGAAAGGAGAGGAGGGTATTATATGACAGCCTAATTGCAATTAGCACTGTAGTTCTTTCTCCTAATGTAGCTTCTCGAGCTCCTTATACTTTATATATGCAGTCAGTTAACTTCTTATATGGAAGATTATAAGCATGTTTGGGAGTTGTTTATGATCAATTTAAATTATAAATAGATAGAAATGAGTGATGGATAATTGTTAGTTCTTGTGGGTCCCATAAAATTTGGGTGGATAAAAAGTGATTTGATCGATTATAAACGTTTTATAAACATTAACCAAACATGGGTATCTCTAGCTTAGCTCCTACCCAGCTATGCACTCCAGTTCTTTTCGTTCTCTCTGACTACGATAATATCACTTCAAGAAACTGGGTAGGTCGACAATATGGAGACAAACTGTACCTAGTGTTTTCCTTGAAGGTTTATTATGATCTTCAAAACCAGGAGACCAAATCTCTCTCGGTTTTTACTCGATCAATTTATTTTCATAAATCGCCCTATCCTTCATTTCCAATATGTTATGCTAAATACAAGTGGAAGTGATTGATACAGTTGCCAAACTAGGAATAAGGTAGTGCATAGAAATTGACATATTACATCCGCAATCTGCAGTTGCGGCTAAGAGACTGGATATAAAGTGACTCTGGTGGATTTCATTTGCTGTCTGGTTATCATCTAGATTGAATTAGGTTGGATTGGTAAAGATATTGGGTTCAGTTTCTAATGTGTGCATGATTTTAGTTTCAGAAGTTGGTATTTAATCACAGTATTGATGTTCTAGCCCCATTTTAGTTGGGTGTCAATGGAAGACTCTTGGGATTGTTGCTTGGCTAATACAAATACAATGAAAACCTCCAGACCTCTTGAATTAGTTTTTCACAATCTTCATTTACTTTTCTTTTGCAGGTCATGTGCCCTACCTGTCTTTGCACAGGGATGGCTATGGCGAGTGAGCACGACCCACGGATCGACCCCTTCGACTGATTATGCACAAATTTTCCCTTGAGCTGTGGAGTACTTGATGCTGTAAATGTTTTGTTCTACATACTAGTTTCCTCTAATCTCGATGTTCCTGTGTATATAAAAAGAATACGATTCCAAATGCTCATGCCCCAGAATAATTGTTCTATGGCTTCGTATTTTAATGAACTTTTTTTGTTCTAGTTTTGATATTACAAAAAACGTAAACAAAATAACTGTTTAACCTCATCGAGTGGATATAACAATAAATCGAATGAAATGGTGGAAAAGGATTTGTATTGTTAATTTTTGTTTGATGGGCTAAGTGAGCATGTTGGAACTTTCTTATACATCAACGAAGTGTACTTATAAGTAACACAAAGTATGAGAGATTCATACTTTGTGGGATTGTAAAAAAGTTCCATAGGCTCGTGTGAACGTGTCCTTAATTCATGTTTGATGGCTCACAACTCCATGGACACGCTTATGATCGCCACACGGTATAATTTTACACGCATAATAAGCTCAAAATATATATATATAATTATTATTATTATTATTATTTAAATAATGTACAGATGTAAAACACGATTGATTGTCTCTACCACATGGTAATATAGAGAATACAATTAAATTTAGATTTACAAAATTGAATACAGTATTCAAATAAAAGCCGTGTTTATGTTGAATACGTTTTATCTTATTGTCATTCATTGTGATGATGACACGTGGAATTATCCTGACTATTGGCTGAATATTCTGGATGGCTCTTTATCTACCTTGGACGTCTCATTTGGACGTGTGGAACACGCTATTCTGTCTTCTGTTTTGAGAGAAACATTTTGGGTTTTCTTCTTCGTGGTCTCTATGCTCAAATCTCCGATTTGAGGTTGTAATCTTGACGGTTTCACTCTCTGATTGTGATATTCTGTGCGAACTAAGGTTCTACTGTGAGTTGTGTATTAGAGTTGTTCTGTAGAGTTTCTTGGTGATTCGTCCTAGATCTGTTGATGTGTTTGAGAGATAAGTGTTCTGATTTTATCTCTACTAGAGTGATCTGTGATAGATCTGTTCATGTACTTGAAAGATATGTGTTCTATCTTCATTCTTTGTATTGATTGAACGATTTGTAACCTTCGTTGCCAATTTGTGGCTGTACAGTACAACTGAACGTTATCCAACTTGTTGGATGCTCAATATGGGATGTAGGCGTTTGATGTGGTCGCCGAACCTCTGGAGCTTAGACCGAAACAATTCTTGTGGTGATTCTTTAATTTTAGTTCTTTGGTTTAATATCGTGTGTCCTGGCCTTACAATGGTATCAGAGCCTTGACTGAAGAACGTGATACCTGGATCTTGGAGGAAGGTGATAGATCTACTCCAGATCTGAAATTTTTGGAACTGATTCAAAGCAGATTGGAAAATATTCGAGTTCGTTAAATTCTCTTAGTGAGATCTTTGTAATTTCTGTAAAAAAAAAAATTTAGAAATTAGGGTTCCTTGTTTTTCCCTTGATTTACCGTACACTTTAACCCCCTTGAGATTAATCTTTGTCCAAAGGCTCCTGTGAGGTCTTGGGAATCTGAGATAAATCAAGAACGGGTGTGTACTTGGAGGATCTTGTAGGAGGAACTGTTGGAATATAGTTGTTTGATCTCTGTTACTGTGTTTTCATTGAGTTCTTGATCTTTGTGATCCTGTGAGTGCATAATATTTTCAAAATCTTGATTGTCACTACGTGATAAATTGTGATATTGTATAACATATTTGTGCTCTGTGAACAAGTGAAAACTGTTTTTCTTATCTGTGATCCTTGTTTTGTTTAACATGGCTTCTACTAAATTTGAAGTAAGTCAATTCGATGGTAAGATTGAATTCAATATGTGGAGTCAAAAAATGAAGGCTATCTTGATGCAAATGAAATGTGAAAAGGCTGTGACTGATAATTGGCCTGCTGAATTACCTCTTGCTAAAAGAACTGAACTTGATGAAATTGCATGGAGTACTATTTTCTTATACTTCTTTGAAAATGTGATAAGAAGTATTGGTGACACTAAGACTGCCTCTGAATTATGGACCAAACTACATGCTAAGTATGTGACTAAGACCACTCCAAATAAATGTTTCTTGCTAAAACAATTTTTCTCTTTCAAAATGGATCCCTCTGTTGATTTGGATGAAAACTTAAACAGATTTACAAAACTTACCCAAGACTTGGCCAATTGTGATGAAAAACTTTCAAAAGATCAGATGGCTATAGTTTTTGTTAAACTCGGTTAGTGACACATATAAGGACATCGAGATTGTTGATATATGGTTGATTTCATCCTCAATGTTTTGATTATAACAAACAAGCTTAATATTGTTTCTAACAAATGATTTTTAGTGATGGTAGTTCAATGTTAAATCGATCAAGACTTGCCAAAATCAACACATTACAAACCGGACTTGGAATGAAGATCAAAGTGAAAGTTTGCATTCGAGACGATAGAGATTTACATGCGACGATTGAATTGGAACTTGAAGATTCTCAAAAGACGCAAATCAAGAAACAAGTCAAAAGAACGACAAGAACAAGAATTTTGAAGTATAAAGTTTAGAATTCGTTTATCGGAACAAGTGTATAAAGCTCAAAATTATTTTCATAATCCACCACTTGCATAAAAATGATTTTCATTCATAACATGAAATAGATTTTGAAAAAACAATTTTGTAAAAAAAAAAAAAAGTCAA